GGACAGGGGGCCGAGACGCTGCCTGTAGAAACTTCCGAAACTTCCTGCCTGCGCTTCTGGCTGCACCCCCGGAGCGTCCCCGGAGCTGGCAGGGCTCAGGGACAGCCAGCGTCGCCGGAATGGGGCCAGGGATATTTGGGAGCTCGGGGAGGGGGTGGGTAAAGAGAGAAAGCAAGCGTCAGGCCGGCTCAAACATCTTTCTTCGGCGTTCACGCGGCCAAACTTCGTCCCCCCCCGTTCCGGGGGGAGAGACGTCATCTCCTCGATTTCCATTCCCAGCCCCGCTGGAAGGGCGGCTGCGGTGAGGGGGGATCGGTGGGAGCAGCTGCTGCGCCGGCATCCCCGCAACACCCCGCTCCTCGCGGGGGGCTTGGGAGCGGCACGACACTTTGGGCCCCTCCCAGCGATGCCAACACGTTAAGGGCAGTTGGGATTAAGGGGGGAGCGGCTGGGAGATGCGGGCAGAGCAGGCAGCTGCCTGCTGCCGGCTCAGCATGCTGGGTTGGACCCACTGCCAGCCTGTTTGCAGGAAACCTTCTGCCCAGCAAGAGGGGGGAAAGCAAAGGCGACCAAATTTGGGTTTCTGAGAGTCAGGTACCCCAAACATGTTTCCCTGGACGCCTGTAGATAAAAGTATTAATTGCCAGGACACCCTCAGAGCCCGTGGGGAAATACCCACAAAAGATGCTCTACCACAAAATGAACGGTTCATCCGCCTCCTGGCCCCCCCCGCAGCCAGGTGCCCGCCTCTCATCAGCAGCACCACATAGGGCATGGTAAGACTTTGCAGCCCGACCCCATTTATTTGCAGTTAGTGCTGTGCCGAGCATTACTCCGGGAGTTTCGCTTCTTTTCAGAAGCGTTTCCGGCAGCAGAAGTACAGAAACGGCACAGGGAAACCGAGAGCACCAAGCCCTGCTGCGGCACCGCTGGCCGTTGGAACCACAAGCAAATCAGGTGAAAACCCTCCTTACAAAGCCTGTTTTGATTTCAGAGCTCATCATGTGCCGGATCCCCCCACCAGCTCCTGGAGGAGGAAACTTGGTCTTAGATAGAAAGAATTACATACTCAATTTTTGTCTTTACCTTCCCAGAAGGGCTCAGACAAGAGAGGGCTGTTCAACTGCCAGTGCTCAGCAGCAAAGGGGAGAGGCGTTAAAGTGAAGACAGCCTGCGAAACCTCAGCTGGGCTCAGGC